CTGATTCGTGACTGTTTTCGCATCCTGCCTACTGTTATTCTTCAGTGCTGCTATAAGGTATGTAACTTTTCCAACGCTGCAGCACTTAAATACTGCAATACTATACTGTGTATTATGCAGTTATCTCTCATTTACTCTGAAAGAGTCGAACAACGAATCCGATGAAGCATAGGCACAGATCTTATAAAGTGATGATCAAATGCAAAGCGGGGGCATCTCTTCATTAATTCTAGCAAAACTGTGCTCACATAGGTGAAGTTTCAGTAAAGGGAAGAAAAGGGAAAACCGCGTGGTTGCAGAGTTGTCTAAGAGGTCTGCTTCGAATTCTGGAAGTACCGGGTTTGACTCCTGCCCTATGGCCAGTTTTGTTTTATTCACGAATTCTCTTGAGCAAAGAATTTACCACACCTTGCTTCAGACCGTGGTTGCTCAGTCGTTGTAGCGTCGAACTGAGAACCGATACGTCTTGAGTTCAGGTCGCGGTAGGGGTCACTCACCCTTCTTCCTTCTGCGGTTGATAAATGAGTACCACTCTGTGGGAAGGCAATAGGGGACTGCACGCTGCTCTTACCACATGGCTGTAGACTTTGAGTTTAAAAATAAGGCACCCATCGACTAATCGCATGGAAACGGAGATTGGTACCGCGCCATTAACATAAAAAATGGCGCAAAGTGGCCCAATCATAAACGTGAAGAACGACCGACATTTCAACAATGATTAACTCTCTTTTTCTTTTTCCTGTGACTCGATGTTCCAGAAAAGGGAAAGCATAGTTTCGTGTCGAAACACTGATAAGTTGTCAAACTCTAAAACCCTTCTTCTAGAAGGTAGATAGGTTTCGAAGTCCCCAAGAACATCGGGATCATATTTTGACTGTTGTTCTCCAACGGATCATGGCAATCTTGGATGAACATATTTTTATTCAGTTCCAGTTTGAGACGCGGTCCTGCGTCCTATGCACTTCAGGCATCTAAAGCGTGCTTAAATGGTCACCCTACGCGTATCGAAGCAAATAAGCGGCGCATTAGAGCTGCTGGTGTAACCGAGAAATAGATTTCTCTTAACATTGTGCATTTACGCCCGATATCAGTACTTTTACTGTGAAGAGGATAGATTATTGGAGTAGTATGAAAATGTTCACGGTGTCATTTGCTCTTTTGCAGACGATCTCGTTATGGTAGCTTCTGGGAGGCTGAATTCCGAGTGTGAAACATACATTTGAGGTCTGTATAGGGTCGGATAACCGAAGGAAGGAGGGAGTTTTGTCTACTCTCGAGGCAGCGTGATCTACAGAACAGAAATTTTAATGAGGTCAGTGAGGAAGCATAAATTAGTCATGCCGACGACCGCAGAGTCTTCTTTGATGTACTGAAACTGAATATTACTGAAGAAGATGATTGATGTTACTGAATCTGAATTTGATCTCTCAGTTGAAACTTAACGGCCGAAAAGTTTTTCTTTCTATAACTTGTCCAAACACCATGCCATTGCCTTATTGCTATCACATCGGACGATTCTAATTTTTTTTCAAAGTACGAAACCATTCCGTTTAAAAACTATATTCTAATCATTTGGTTAAAAAAGTTTTGTATTTGCGTATTCCTTTCATTTTTGCCTGTTGTTGTTAGAAACTCAACGTTCGCGATGTTCACTCCTTGCTTCTGCTTTCCGTCTGTCCGAGTTGGAAAGTCGTCTTTCAAGGTTTGCATTCGGTCGTTGACGAGCGTTCTCGATGAACAACTCGATATGTATACTAAATCTCCCGAATACCCACCGGTCTCTTCTTCAGTGCGTGAAACTGCATTGGAGAGACGAAAAAAAAGATTCTCTGTAAGTTTCTTTGTGGTGTAAAGTAGTTCGTTTATATTTTTGTGAATGCAACTTCAATGCGACTAAAATATGATTAATTAACTCAGCATGTTACAAACATTTCTTGAAAGTGATATGAAAACACCAAAATACCTCAAACCATATGTCCCAATAAATGTTTGACAGCTACCTTCGTTTTGGTTCATCTTTCACGAATTTTCTTAAGGGTAGAGAGGGCTTATTTTCGTTGTTCTGTCGGTGGTTAGTCTTGTAACATGCGGAGCTAGAATTTGTAACATTTATTGGGCTAGTACGCTATATATGAAAAATCACTAGTTTAATTGAGGATGGGGAGTATTTAAAAGCCCGATGAAGCTTTTTGCCCAACTCCGCCGTTGCCAGTCCCAAGCCCGGATGAAAAATGAAGGTATGGGACTGTGGTGAGGTTTCTCGTAAAACATAGCCACCTGCCCCTCGTGGTATTGCCGTTATCGAACGTTGTTCCGGTTCGGTCGTCGCTCGAGTTAATAAGGGCCGCGCAAGCTGTTCGGTGACTGAGACAGACTGCAAAAGGTCGGCGATCAGAATCTGCTTCTCGGCCTCTTGCAGCTGAAAACGTAGAAGCACGGCGTTGGCTGCTGAAAATCGACAGGAAGACGACGAAGTTGCCAATCATCAGCTGAGGGGCTACTCGTTGTGAACAGAGAAGGCGACAACGCGATGACATTATAGCACATCAGATAAGGTTCGGTGAGCATGACATCGACAGCGAGAGCTCGTAGCGGGAAATTGGAACATC